ATTTCATTACCAAGGAGCAAGCAAAAGATAAAAAGAAAAATATTTGAGGTGCCAGCTGGACTTAGTAGGACCCACAAACAAAAAAAGGGAGACAGCTGCCGATGAAAGGAAGTCCAATCTGTCAGTCTTATCTCTCCTATAAATACCACTTCACTCACCAACCTCAGTTTCCAGTTCCTTGTCTCTCGTTTGCCGACACTTTTCCGACAAAGTTAGCCGCCTTCCTCTCTATCACCCAAGAAAAAGTTAGGGTTTCTGGCAGAGAATGGCGGCGCCGGACAAGGGAAAGAGACCCAGGCTCGATGACGAGCAAGACTCTGACCTTTACCCCAATCGCTATGTTAATCTCCGTATCGAGCAGTTGCGGGAGATTCAGGAGGAACTTAACAAGGTTCGCTTCTCGTCCGCGACCTCTATCTACGTGCATGTCTCACTTTTCATACACACACACACACACACACACATATATAATAACACACGTACACATAAACTGGAAATGACCATACATTTTCTGATGAACTGCGTGGATTTTAGCTTTCATTTGTTGCTTTCTTTTCCCAACTTCATTTTCTAATGAGATATCATGAGTAATTTATTTACCTTTTGTTTCGGCATCTAGTGATTCTGATTTCGTAATTTAATTGTTCTTTTTTTCCGAACCGACTATATTAAGACCCTAATTTTCTCAGATTTCTTATATTTCTTTGACTAAGTACGAAAATATCGATTTAGTTATGTAAACTTGATCATGTTGAATGGTTTCATGAATCTAATAAAGGGTTTAATTGCTTTTGATGCTTGATAGATCGCTGAAGAAGCTGCTGAAAAGGTGTTAGAAGTTCATGAAAAGTTTGCTAATTTGAAGAGGCCTATTTATGACAAGAGGGATGAGCTAATCAAATCTATACCTGAATTATGGTTGACTACGGTGAGTGGTCTACCCATTTTCTGAATTATCTACTTCTTGTTATGTTCAAATATACTGAAATTTCTAGATTTTATGATTAAAAAAAAAAAAAATTGCTTCACGAAATATTGCTTTATGCAGTTTATGAGTCATCCTCTATTATGTGACTTTTTGAATCGGAAAGATCAGGAGGTATGCCATATGATTATATCATTTTCAAGTTATTTGTAGTAAATTTCATGATTCTTATGCTATGCTGAGAATATGTTCTATCTATTTCATAATTTTGGTTGCATTATGTTCAAATAGATACTTAGCTATTTGAATTCTATTGAGATGAACGAGTTTAAAGGGGAGGGAGCAGGATATGGCTACTCAATCATTTTTGTGAGTCGCCTCCGACCTTTTTCCACATTTATACTGTTCATTCTTCTGAAAACTAATTATTATTCAGAATTCTAGTTTTTGGTTAATTATTTATTTTCCTTCTTTGCTACACAGCTTGTGTCTTAAGTGCCTTACGAACTATTTTTGCTTGCTTATACTCACAGCATTTTAAGGAGAATCCTTATTTTGAAGATGAAACGCTGACCAAAACTTTTACATTTTTGGAGAACCAAATACCAGATAAAATAACTGGTGCAACCATCAAGTGGAAGGAAGGCATGGTAGTAATGTTTCTCTCATATCATACACAATGCTATATCTGTTGTTATTCTCTCATATCCTAATTATGTAATTTGTGAAGGGTAACGCTAATGGAGTTGGCATCACACAAGAGGAAAGAAGCGGGCACTGACATATGATGATAGGTAAATTATATATAATATATATATATAGAAATGGCATGCATTATAGAGTAAAAGCTTTGCAGTAATTTCCTTATGTTTCCCGTGCACTAAGGTATATGGTGATTTGATGACATCCATTTTGTTTGAGCAATAACTGAAATTGATGAGCCGTTCAGCAAAGTTAGATGAGTAAGGATAGGATTTCATTGCATAAATTTAACGAAAACCTTGCTAAATATATCACGGTTATCCTAATTTAGTTCGTAACTGCTCTATGGCTGTCAAAAAATACAACTCTTATAGTGTGCAGAAGGTTTGTCAGACATAAAAGTTTGAGTTAAAATGCAAAGTTTTTTTTTTCTTCGCCTTTCAGGAACCAACAACTCAATATGTGATCAGTTTAGGGTTATTTCATATTTAGGCAAATGTTTTGCATACTATAAATTTAATTTCATAATGCTTATTCCTTTGAAGTATATAAGATTTGAGCCCATTTTCCCTGCAGTCTTGTTCCTCTTAGAAAAAGTTTGAGTTGCTGATTCGTTTCCATATTTTTTGCCAATCCAAAAGGATTGGTGAAAGAAACGTGCCTCTTGATTCTTTTTGATTGTTCATGTTCGTAATTATGTGTGTTTGATCAACTTCATCTAGTTCATCACTAATATTTTGGATGCAGTTTCTTCGGTTGGTTTACTGAACCCCTAGAGAAAAGCATGAAAGAGTTTCAAGTTGAGGTTAATTTTTTTTATCCTTATCATTATTTATGTTTTGTTAAGCTTTCTAATAGTTTTTTTGATATATAATTAGTGGTCGTTGATTGGTTACAGAAAATGACATTACTTAATGATTGTAATAATTAAAATTTATCGTCGTCTGGTTTAATATATGTTTGGAAATTTCAGATTTCATTGATGATTAAGGAAGAGTTATGGTCCAATCCTCTAAAATACTTTTATGTAATTTTTCTTCTTTATTCTACTTTTCATCCTTATTGTGGATACTTTTTTTTTCTTTTTTTATTTATATTTGTTGATATAAGAGAAATTATTTGGTCGATATGATATTTTTTTCAAATCTATGAATTCACTATTCTAGGATGATGAGGATTTTGATTAAGATGAGGAATCTGATGAAGACGAGGATGATGGTGAAGATGATACGAAGGTAATGTAATTGGAATTCCCAAACTTCGCAAATTTTTTTCATGAATAAATAATCAATATATGAATAGTCCTAAACTTCATAAATTTTTTCAATGAATAACTAATATCAAATATGAAGAGTCAAATATACATCTAGATACATATGCATGCAACTGTACATAATGTATTCTTTTGCTACAAGGGTTTTGAGGTTTTTACTTAATATTGTTTCAGCTATGATCATCAATCATCTTGGTGCTGCTTTTGGTTCAATTGGTTTTACATTATCTATTAATTCACACCCTTAACTTTCGTGTTACTCTTAAGATACAAAACTATGAGTTTGATATTATTCTTCTCTCCCTATCATCATAAAGCTTTATTAACGAGAATTCAATTATCTTAATTCGTAAAAATGAATTTCTTCTCCAAAAAATTTCAGATGAGAATATCGATTAGATTTAACATACAAATTATATTCTATATGTCAATACTAATATGAATTAGATGTAAGAATTAAGTAAAAATAAAATGAAATTAATCATAATTTAAACATAAATGTTATATATTTTTCCATTCTAATTTAGTGTATAAGTTAAAAACTAATCTTTTATGTGCAAAAAATATATGTTGATTATTCCAGGCAAAAATAGAATTTGATGATGTGAGAAACCTTGATTTCGTAAAGAATTGAGGAACCATATTGGTGAAGAACTATATTATCAAATTAAAGTGAATTTCCATGCAAGATAAGCCCACAACTACTTCTACCATAAATAGATTTCTAGATTCTTTTTGTTTGATCTAACCATTTTCCTTGGGCAAGTCTACTGCCGTGAAAAGATATATAGGACTCCTTTAATACCTTCCCTCTCCCCACAAACTTCATGCACAAACCAATCATGAGAACTTTCTCCATCAAGAGGACTGCTAGCCTTTAGTATATTTCAGTGCTCTTTTAATTCAACAATTGTGAATGCTCTCTTAATTTAGCAATTGTGAATCTAATATACTAAATTTTATGCCTTATATATATGAAGGAATGTTTAATTAAAAATCTAATATTTCTCTTAAAATCATTACATTATACACCCAATACTTGTCAATTTATTGCACTATATACATTTTGATTTGCTTAGTTCTGATTGAGTTCTTTCTGAGCAGGGAGTGGATCATGATTATGAGCATAGTTCTAATGATGGAGATCAGAGTGATGATTAAGAAGATGTCAGATTAGGCATGTTAATAAACTCTAGGATAGTTTTATGGTTTTCTTGTAAGGTGAATAAGTAATCCAATGATTACAAATATCTATAGTTGCTTAGCTATAAGACAATTTTTATAACTATTAATGGTGTCAGATTTATTAGGTCTTTACAAATGACTGCCATAGATTTTCTTACCTTTTTGGAGTATTTATCATTAGACATTTGAATTGCTTCTTCATGTTGAATATATCTCATTGCTTTGAGCTATTTGCATGATTCTCTCAGTTATACAATAAAGTTAGGTGTTTCAGTATACATATGTTTTATATGATGGCCTATGAGAATGCAATAGTGTTCAACATTTAGTTTGAACATGTTGCAATCTAAGCAACCGTTCTTTATGGAATGAGGCATTCTACCCTAATGAACATATATCAGTTTTGTCATACAATATAAATATGAAGTTTTTGTATTTAGATATCGCTACTGATCTCACAATAGTTTTGTACCAAAATTAAAATATGTGCTGATTTGGTCATAATCTTAAAGACTAATTTGCTTTAGTTTAATATTAGCTAATTATATATATGCACTTGGTGCAAATCCAACTTTCCTAAAGGCAACTCACTAATTTATTTTATTTATGAAATGATATAAATTAATTTCTTATACATTTATAAAAATTAATTTTATGAGCGTATCAAAATGTTGTTCTATGATGTTCAACGTAATTTGTCAAGTTATGTGTACATTTTTTGTAAATTTTTTTTTAAAATTCTATTAGTGTATATTGACGTTATATGTGACGTGTTAAAGTACGTGCATATCTCTTTAA